GCCCCACCTCAGCCATGGCGTCTGACCTGCACACAGGCGCCAAGCCCGGCGGCCCTGACGACCGCCTACAGTGGTTCGACCTGACCGTCAAGGTACGCGCACAAACCGCCCCCTCCTCCTCCCTTCCCCCCTCCCCTCTGCAGCTGTTCAACAAGGGCGTGCCCAGTGGGCACCTCCGCGGCGGCCCGCGCAAGCCGGCCTCGTCTTTGGCGTCCCGCTCAACGAGCTGCTCGGCCGCGAGCGGGCGACCCTGCCGCGGATCATCACCTCGATCATCGAGTGGCTGGAAGACACGCGTGGCATCGAGACCCGTGACATTTTCCGGGCTGAGCCTGGCTCGCAGGACGACGTCGACAGACTGATGACCCAGTTTGACCTCGGCCGCCCGTTCGACTTTTCGACACACTGCTGGGACCCGCTGGTGGCGGCGCGGGTGCTCAAGAACTACATCCTGGCGCTGCCGGACCCGCTGGTCCCGACTGCTCTCTCACAAGCGTTGTGGGACTGTGTCGCCGAAGCCGACCGCGGCTACTCCGACGGACTGCCTGCGCTGCTCGGCAAGTGCCTCAAGACGCTCCCGTCGAGCTACAAGACCCTACTCTGCACCCTTCTCCTCTTCCTCCACCGGGTCTCTGAAGTGGCCGACGTCAACATCATGCACGCCACCGACCTCGGCCAGGTTTTCGGCCCGCTGCTCATGATGGGCCGCGACTCGCAGACCGCGCGTGTCGCCGAGGTGCTCATTGCCGACGCGCCTGCAGTGGTCGACGTTGTTACCGAGTCGGAGCTCCCGGCGCTGCTCGACGGCCATCCGCGGCTCAACGACATGCAGATGCTGTTCCAGGAAAAGTGGTCGCGCCGGATCCGCCGCGCGCTGCGCCGCGACGCACGCTCGCGCCGCGAGCGCAACCTCGTCCCGCGGCTCCGCACCAAGGTCGACTCGCTCACCCGCGAGCGCAACGAGCTGCGGTCGTCGCTCGACACCCTTGCACACGCCCGCCTGCACGACGTCGAGGATCTGGAGATGCAGGTCCACGCAGCATCGACCAAGCTCGCGGCTGCCAACGCCCGCATTGCACGACTCGAGAACGAGCTCGCTACCCGCGCCGCCGCGCCTGCGCCCGAGGAACCGCCGCTGTCACCATCAGGTGGCGAGCACAGCGGTGCCGCCGGTGGCTCGGACGGTCATTCTGTGTTTTCCGGCTCGCCGAGCACTGGTGGCGGCGGCGGTCCGTCGTCCGGGCAGGCCGTTGCAGCCCGGGCAGCCCTCCTCTCACAGCTCGAGGCGGCTCGGCTCGGACTGGCATCGGCGCAGGCCGAGAACGAGCAGATCCGGCGAGAGCACGCGCTGTTGACGCGGGCCAAGCTTGACCTCTCACACGCCAACGAAAAACTCAAGGCCGAGCTGCAAGAGGTCAAGATTGCAAAGTCGACGCTCGCCCTCCAGCGCCGCCAGCTTGAGTTCCAGGTCACCAAGCTCAACCACATCGTCAAAGAGTCTGGCGGGCAGGCCATCTCGCTCGACATGCTCCTCGCCGCAGCGGCCAACGGCCACGGATCATCGGCACCGGACTCGCCGGCCGGCGCCGCCTCGCCGCGCGGTGCGCTGGTCGGTGCCCACGACACTGCAGGCCGCCTCCGCGTCGCATCGACCAAGGACGAAGAGCTCCGGGTCCTCCGCATCACCCTCTCCCAGGAGCAGACTGCGCACGCCAAGGCCCGCCAGCGAATCACCCTCCTCCATGACGAGATCAAGGCCATGTCGGCCCAGATCCTCTCGCTCCGCCGCAAGCTCGCCCGCGCCAAGCGGAGCTCACCAGCGCCGGTGCAGGCTGACCCTGCACCGTCGTCGCCACGCAACGGGCACTCTCCACTGCCCACCTCCAAGACCCAGGACGAGCTCAACATCCGCCACTTGCAGGTCCTTCTCGACGAGGCCCGCGCCGACAACAACCGCCTTGCCAAGGTCTGCCTCGTCAACAACGACCGCATCCGCGACCTCGTCGCCCTCAACAAGAAGCTCAAGAAAAAGTGCGCCGCCCTCATCGCCGCCCTCCGCGAAGCCGAGGACGCCGCCGCCGCCACCGCCGCTGCAGACTCGGGCTCGGGCGACTCGCATCCCATCATGTCCCGTTCCAACTCGCACCACATGTCCCGCTCCAACTCGCGCCACCTGTCCCGTTCCAACTCGCGCGTCGTCTCGGAGGACGGCAACGGTAGTGCCGGTAGCGGATTTCTCTCGCCCTCGGCATCGGCCGCCGGCTCTGGTCCGTCCCACACGGTAGATGAATGACGCCTGTGTTCCCTTGCGCTGTCGAACTCTGCCCGCCCGACAGGCTGCTGCCTCGCCCTACCCACTCACACACGCCCACACCCGACTAGCACACACGCACGCACACACGCACACACATCATGTCCGAAACGCCCGCTCCCACCCCGCTCCGCAAGGCTGTCGTCCTCGCCGACGACGGCTACGAGGACCTCGAGCTCCACTACCCGCGGCTGCGGCTGGAGGAGGCCGGGTTCGACGTTGTCGTCGCCGCCCGCGAGGCCGGCCTCACTTCCAAGTCCAAGTTTGGCTACTGGGCCATCTCCAACGCCGCCTTTGCCGACGTCGATCCTTCCGACGTCGCCGTCCTGGTTGTTCCGGGCGGCCTGCTATGCCCGGATCGCCTCCGCCGCTATCCGGAAGCGCTCGGCCTGGTGGCCGGTGTGGCTGCTGCAGGCGGCGTCGTCGGTATGATCTGCCACGGTCCGTGGGTCGGCATCTCGGCCAAGATCCTCGACGGCGTCCGCGCCACCTGCTTCTCCGCCATTAAGGACGATGTCATCAACGCTGGCGCCACCTACGTTGCCGACGAGCGCGTCGTCGTCGACGCAGACGCCCGCATCGTCACCGCCCAGACGCCCAACGACCTGCCGGGCTTTATGCGCGGCATCCTCAGCCTCCTCGACGACTAACGCCTGTGCCGTGTCACGGCTGCGGTTTGGTAGTACTGCACAACGGCCGGCAGTGGTGTAGAACTGTAAATGGCTTCATTGCAGGATAGCGTGCATTTAGCTCGAGGTCGAGTACGACGGATCGAAGCCGCCGAGCTCGGTGCTGGGCGCCTCGTCGTCTCCAGGACAGCTCGCCTGCGAACCCCAGTTGTGAGATGAGGCCGAGTCGTCCGCCGAGTGTGAGTAGTTGGGCGGCGGCGAGAGGCCAGCGGGCGAGTAGCCCGGCGGGGAGCCGTATTCTGCGACTGCAGCCGGCGCCACCGCCGCGGCGGTGAAGCCGCGGGTGTTGGATCGGTTGAACCGCTTGACGCCCATGATGAGGACGACGGCGCCGCCAGTCAGCACGACCGCGAGCACGATCTGGCCGTAGAGCACCATGTTGACGCCACCAAGAAAGTCGGAACAGAGCGCGTTGTCGACTCGCGCCACGAGCTTGTCGATGAAGCCGCACTCGAGAATGACACCAGCCCTGTCGCGGATGCCGACGTAAGAGGTCCGGACGGCGATATGGCCCGCGAACGCCGCAGTCGAGTCCTTGCGATTCGAGTTCTCGCACACCGACGCACACTCGCTCCACGTCACAATGCCCGGCGAGCCAGAGTCGATGGTGACGTTGAGATGCGAAGCAACATTGTCGCCGGTGCACGGCGACGGGCATGGCCCGCACGTTGGATCGGTACAAATTTGTGCAGCGCCGTCGCATGCCGCGTTGGTAGCTTGTGAGAGGCCGCTGTCGGCCTCGTCGGTGAGCGACTTGAACGCTTCGTTGGTCGAACCACATCCGATGGCTTCACCGATGGTGTTCGACGGGTCGGAGCCGGTCCGGATGCTGACCTCGGTGCAGACGTCGCCAAAGAGAATCGAGAAGAGGACATGGATAGCAATCGAGCCCCAGAGGAGGAACATAAACAGGAGCATGAGCATGGCAATGATAATCTGCGCCTGGCACATGGTGCAGCCTAGAATGCCGAGCCCGAGCCCGAGCCCGAGGAGTGCGAGCGGGACCGCAAAGCAGATGACCAGAAAGTAGAAGCGGTACTTGTCGAGCTCGGCGACGTACGCCCGACCGACGCTCTTGGCGTTTTTGAGCACATCTTGCGCCTCATCGAGCGCCGACCTGGTCGTCGTCGCTGCATCTTGCGTGTACGGCAGCTTGGCAAGCTCGTCAACGAGAGCCTGAACATCGGCCACAAGCTCCTCGCCAGTGACAATAACGCCATCGACAAGGCCGTCAATGCCCTTGCTCACGAGCGCGTTGCCGCCGAGAATGACCGAGCCGGAAATGACGGCAGCAGCCACAAAGCCGATGGCCACAAACTTAATGACCATCACCGTCTTGCGCGAGTACGTCTTGGGCGCCACAGCCCCGATGGTGGCGCCAGACTCGAGCGCCTTGACATGCTCGTCAGTGTGGGCCACGCGCTTGCCATCGACCCTCACCACGCCGTTGTTCGACTGGGTCACCACGCCTGTCGCCCGCTCGCGCGGGCCGCGACATATCCCGTAGCTCGGCTTGCGCCCGCCGCACACGTTACAGCAGCACCGGCAGCAGAGGAAGAACGGGATAAAGAGGACAGTGAGCACGCCGACAATGAGCGGCATCGCCACCCGCTCGCCCACATACACTCCGTACTTGTCCCAATGGTACGTGTCCGTCTCTGCATCATATCCACCCAGCCGATCCGTCAACGTATCGCCCGTCACAAGTGTGCTACGCGAGCCGAGCAGTCGCCGCCCGCCTGCGCCCGCACCCCCACCGCCAGCCATTCCCAAGCCACCTGCCAACACCACCACCACCCACCCACCATCCACCACCCACCAACATCTCTGTGAGTCATAATTTCCCTTCCTTCCCCCCCTATCCCCCCTCTCCCCCCTCCCTCCTCCTCCACTCCTCCCCTCACTCCTCATACCAGGAAGCGGCAGTACGGCGTTGGCGAGGACATTGACAACGAGGGCAGCCAGGACAATGGCCATGGACAGGCATCGAGTCCGTGCCATACCGACTCGTGCAAGAGTCAAGAGTGTGTATCGCAACGGTGTCCAAGGCTGTGGGAGGTAAGAGGTGCTATGCCACAAGAGTTGTGTGTGTGTTGATGCGAGGGGATGCGGGTCCGTGTAGGCATGTATGTGCTCGTGTGCGTGGTTGGCACTTGGAACAGTATGAAGAGAGGATAAAAAAACAGCCCTTGGCTGGGAGAACAGGGTTCCGACATGGTTCCACTCATTGCCAGTGCTCAACCGTGACACACGTCCAACTCTTGGGTAACTCAGATGGGTCTTTGCCGGGTCAGTGCACCGGTGGGATCCCCCCCCCCCCCCACCCCACCCCCCAAAAAAAGAATAAAGAACACCCTCCCTCCCCACCCTCTCCCTATCAAACTGTCTTGCGAATGGACTGAGCCTGTGGGACGCTCGCCCGTTTCGCTGGTGGTCCAGCCCTTGTCAAGTCTGCCGTTCCTCCAGACACACACGCACACACACCCTCTCACGCGTACACACTGCTCCCCATCCCACCCCCCACCCCCACCCCCACAGCCCTCACCCCAGTCAACCGTCGTCTGTCCTCTCCGCCCACTCCTGGCATTTGCCTCACTCATCCAAGACCAACCCGGGTGCAGAAGACCGACGACGAGCCGCACCAAACGTACCGCACGGGTAACAGCGAGAGGATATGGGCTGCTCGCCGAGCCGCGGACGGCAGCGGTCGCTGATGTCGTCGTCCGAGACGGTCGAGTGCTTCCACTCGCATCTGCGCGGGCGTCGCGACACGATGGAGGACCGATTTGTTGTCAACGGGCGGCTCCACGAGACGTATCCGTTCCTCAAGCGATGGCTGCCCGGCGGCGCCGGCTCGCGGCGACGATGGGGCGCGTTTGCGGTCTTTGATGGCCATGGAGGGTCGGAGATCTCCGAGCTCTGCGCCAAGCGACTTCTCCCCAACATCCTCACCGAGTCTTTTGTGGACGACGTCGACCAGGCGATGGAGAACGGGTTCCTCGCCACCGACCAGGAGGCGCTCGAGTTCTCGCGCAACAACTCGGCGACATCGGGCGCGGCGGTCGTTGTCGTCTTTGTTCTCGGCTCCATGCTCTTTGTTGGCCACTGTGGCGACGCGCTGGCTGTGCTCTCGCGCGACGGCTCGGCCGTCCTCCTCACCGAGCCGCACACGCTGGCCAACGATACCGAGGCGCTGCGGGTCAAGCGCGACGGCAACTACCCAGGCGGCCAGCGCCTGGTCCACCCGATCGTCGACACCATGAGCCTCGGCCTCACCCGTGCCATCGGCGACGTCTCGTGGAAGGATCCCGAGCTGACCTCGGCCCAGCCGACAGGCCTCATCGCCACGCCGCAGACCCGACAGGAGGTCATCTACGATTCGGTCGACGAGTTTATTCTGGTCGCCTGCGATGGCCTGTGGGACGTGTTCTCTCCGCAAGAAGCCGTCACCGCCGTCAAAGACAGGCTCCAGCAGGGCTTGCGCCCGCAGGAAGTCGTCGACGACCTCGTCACTGAGGCACTCCGGCTCGGCTCCACCGACAACATCACTCTCATCATGGTCATGCTCTGACCTGCCCGGCCACGCCCTTTCGCGCCTGAGTCGCCCTGCGCGCCATCCGCGGCGGCAGCCAGTTGATCAGAGCTATCCGTTGCGCCACTGGTGGCCGCACTCGGAGCACTTGTAGAACTCGGTCATTGGCTCGTCTGCAGACCGAATCTGGATCGTCATAAAGTACGCCTGGTTGTTGTCGCACTTTTCACAGTCGACTGTTGTCGTGCCCCAGTGCCACCACACCCAGCCCCATCAGCCACACCATCACCAACAACCCATGAGTCTCCGCGACACACACATACGCACGCACACACACATACGCACACACACCACACACCACCACACCACCACACCACAAACACCCTAGTCAACTACCCATCGCCATTCCATCGCCATCCCATCACCCCAGATCCACCTTCCCCCCCCCCCTCCTCGTCCATGATCCC